TGACAGTTTTCTTCCATGTTTTTCATATTTTTTTAAGAAAAGCATGGAAAGTAAAATATATAATTGTAGCATCTGAACAAATTGATTTTAATGCTTCAGTGTTATTTCTTCGGATTTCAAACATTCCTTCTGCACTTGGAAGATGTATCTACTATCCCATCCCCAGTAGTAACTGGGATCCGGAACATTTGGTGGTGGAACCCAGCTGGTACAAAAATAGTACAAGTAATTACTTTCTGATTGCATCTTCCTTACCTCTACCTGTACCTTTCATATCAGTATTCAAACTCTGAATAGCATTAAGTATCAACAGTATGTTTTAGTGGAACTATAGCAAATATGAAATTTCCACAGCAAAGCTGCAGATAGATGACAGTAGTATTGACTGAAAACAATGTTTTAATCATTGTGGCTGATTTCTAATAGGGCTTACTTTACTATACAATGTACAAATGAACTAAAATTCATATATGCAGCCTTTAGTTAATTGCATACAGTCAGAACTAAGCAATTACCTTTTTGAAATGGGTTTGCTAGTGGCCAGCACTACAGTGGAAGAAATCTGTCATACCTAAAAATGCAAACTGCTGTTCCTACATCAATCCATGCCATTCTATACATGATCAGTTATAGATACCACATAGTAGCTTTCTCAAGTGAACAGACATCTGATCAACAATAAAATCTTTGTTGAGCTAGAATTTGGAATGTTGTAGTAAATCATATATATATTGTGTACATCTATTTGATAGGCAATTCAGCTCACATTTTATTATGCCTGTTAGAACATGTGCACAAACATAGCAATTTTGTGATTACTTCTTAGAATATTCATTTTTTTCCTTATTTTCAGGAAGAATGGCAGTTCATTTTATCATTCCCAAAATAATTTTTTTTTCCAATTATCTGAAATAGGAACTTCTTTGAAAGTAAATTGTGGATGATAGAGATCTATCTACTAGCCCAACAAATTATTTTCTGAGGGCATATTTTGTTGGTCACAGGAACATGAGAAATTTTTGCAAAAAATTAGTAACCATGATATCTCACCTGTAAATGCTTACTCAGAGACTCTATCAAGGACAGCTAAGAATGCTTGAGTAAATTTTAAAAAACTGTGGACTAATGGGCATCACGTTTTACTGATCAAACTGTAACAGCAGCATTCTTCAGTTGGTCTTTCTGCATAATTATCAGAACAGGGTGGGGTGTACTGTCCATTCAGTGACTCACAATTATCATTGGAAAATTCCACAGTTTTACATAAAAGATTTTGAAGTCCTTAAGTTGTTTTTAAAAGTTTATATATTGCTTATAGAGTAAAACAAGTGGAATTCCACGTTGAGTTTCACCTAGTTAGGAACACATTTTGAAGATGAAATTAGTTCCAAAGATATGCAAAACACAACCCAACTGCTTTAACTGGAAATAGTCTGTTTCATTCAAGATTGAATAGTGTTTCCTGAAATCAATTTCTGGAACACTCAGGACAGGCCACTCTGGGGACAGAACATTCCATGATGGAATGTTTTGTGCATCACAATTCTCATGCTTGCATGACTGTCAAGACCCTCATTTTGAAAGTTAAATGCTTGTTAATCCAGAAACAGTAATTATCGTGGCTCTCAAAATTTATGCACGGATAAAGACATTTGTAACAGTGCAAAAAGGGGTAAAGAGTGAAACTTATCACCAAAGTCTGAAGGGGTTAAATACTATTTATTACTACTGTACCTAGAGATGTACGAAGATAACCTTGAAGAAACGCAAGAGCAGTTTCATAAACATCAGTTTAGCCCTGAAAGGGAGGATTATGAGAGAGAAACTTTGATGGCATCGTCTTGATTCTTTTGGACACCTAAACAAGCTGAGTTTTGTGCATCTTAAACATCAAATCCAATGCAGGGGGTTGATGAAAGCAAGAAAATTTCTATTTACTGCACAAGCTAGCTTTAGTGACCTACCTAATTATTATTATAGTGCATTGTTTTACATGAATATCAGGTAAAGTTCAATTATGTAACAGCTGTGTGGAGACACTTATTGTACAGAATCACTGCTACAAATTTAGCCTTTTAGAATACTCAGGGTACTCTGGACCAACTTCATCTATGAGGAATCAGTTCTCAAAGACACAAATGTAACTGCTCTGTTATTTATGCACTTCATGGCTTTTATGTATATGTACAATTTCCTATTTTGTTTAATAATGTTGGCAAAATTTTCAAAGCCAAATGACTTGTTTTGACCTAATATTCCCATAGTGAAAACATTCTCAAGTATGTGTTGCTAAGATGCCACGTTGTACATAAAACTACAGGTCTTGCAAAGTGTGGAAGAGCTTCTGCTTTGCTTTCTTTTGTATTCAACAAAACCATATTGTGTATTTTTGTATCATATTAATTGCTGGAAAATAATTAAACCCTTTAAACAAAAGATTTCAAGTTAGTCATGGCTTTGAATGTGAGACTTGAAAAGTGCATGAGCAACAAAGCATTGGTTTTGTTGACTTACATTAAGTCAGCTGTTTTGCTGACTTACAGCTTATACATTTTACACATACAGCGGTTGAAACATCTACAAATTTTCTCAATGCATAAAACTTAAGGGGAGCAGCAACTGAACAACCTACTGCTGAATCTACCCCACTTTATTCCCAGAGCAAAAAGTATTCAAGTAGAGGAGTGGAGGCGGCAAACAAAGCTTAATACTGTAATCCAGAACACAAAGACTATGGCTTACCTCAGAATAGGTCTCAACATAATTGGAAATAACAAAATGAGAGCCAAGATATACCACATTACAGAACTAGAGGAAAGGTTCAAACAACACATGGCCAAAATGGGCCCAAAAGGCCTGGGAGCCACATTTTGAGAATGGTAGCAGCTTGACAACAACCAGGAGTTGCAAACTTGTAAATTCATGCTAAGTAGTAAACCACATTATGCCTATTGTGCAAATAATATTTGTCTAGATTGTACTGTTTCAGATTATGGAGGAAACAATATAACACAAAGAGAGTGGGGTTCAACCTCAATTTTAATCCCATGTTGATTTTCTGATTTGTCCTTGTGATGAAAACATTCTTTTTAAAATAATATCCCCTTTAACCTGAAAAGGGTCACACTGTGGTTTATAACGACCAGAGGTATGAGAATCTCACAATGCACAAAAAAAACTCAGCCCTTTAGAAGTTACAGTTCTTACAAGGACCAGTAAGAAGCCATTTTAGCCCATTACAATTCCTGAACAGGATGACAACTGAAGGATGACTTTATGCATCTCTGTAAGATCAGTGTAGTAGCCTTACTCCTCATTCTGCTGAGCAGCCTTGTGAAATGGTTGCAGCTAAGTTCCACTGAATGAATTGTATATTTTTCTTTCATATAAAATGTTATCAGTAAATAATTCCATTAATTCCCAACAATGTAAAAGGTATGCTCAGCCAAAAAAACCCACTATTTACCTCAAGATGAAGCAAGTCTAACATAGTATAGTTCAGATGTTGGTTTGTATGGGATTCAGTGAGCTTTTTCCAAGCATGATGGACAACAGGTACTTATGATTAGGGTCATAAGTAGGGTCTTCATCAAGGCACAATCTTCTGTTAAATGGGTATAAAATATTCCCATCACTACTCGAACATAAATATCCAGGGTTCCCATCAGAGCAAAATTGCTATGTTTGCAGCAGAGTCGAGTTTTTTGCCCACTTGGAAAATCACAAGCAGCAAATATTAGGGTCTGTAGGTGCCAACAAGATACATGAACAAAAACATTTAATCTTCAAAAATCCCTGATGGCATATTAAGTAGAAACTCCTCACTTATTTGCCTGACTACATAAATTCTGTTAAGCATCTTAGTAAGGCAGGTTATTGCTACCAAATGAGAAATCACATCAGAGCATAGCATTTGACTGAAGGAATACTGGACCTTCAGGTCCTTCCCACTTCACTGGTGAGCTGCAAACACAATTTAGTCAGTTCTTAGCAAGCGTGGAGAATACAGGTTTGCTCTTGCTCTATTCAACCACATTTTGACCACTCTGAAGCGACTATAGTGATGGTGCTTGGAGCAGCCAATGTATGGACAATAGACCACCCTGGATTAAGGTGAGAAAGATGCAAGAGACTGACTAGGTACACAGACATGCCAGTAGGTTTTCAAATCAAAACCACAAGTCTCTAAATATGTAAGAAAACATTATTGAAGCCTTTATTTACAAAAGCTTTAAAAACAAATACCCTCTTATGCAAATGTCTTTGTAATTTTTCTTAAAAAGAAAAAGGACCACCCAGTTACATTATTGTAACTTCATGAGGAAAAAGGAAAACAGATTAAAGTACATGGTAAATATATCAATTTGCTGTACATTGTTTAAGATTTACTCCCATTGATTTTCAGTGTAGATGACATGCCAAATGCTGCCACCAGCACTCCATCATTTCAGGATAGGATTTAGCTATTCAATACCAATAAAAGTCTTCCTTCACAATTGCTTTTTATGAGCCTGCTCTGCATGGTCAGGAAAGTACTTTGTGGTCATTTAATAAAACACCTATAAAATATACCGCTAAGATAGATTCAAAAAATAAACTAGCCTTACAAGCCTTAGGTAACTTTATTAGGTACAAATAAATTTGTTGTTTTACAACAAATGTCTTGTGTTGCAGTTCCAAAAAAGGACATACCTTCCTATTTATCTTTGGATCTCATTCTTATATTGTGTTCATCCATTTATGTAGACAATAAATTAATATTTTAAAATAGAAAAGTATTTTTAGGCCATAACTTGTTGGAACAGGAATAAGGAAATGGATCTACAATTCACATCTGTTATTTTAACTGCAGTTTTCCATCTTTCAATTATTCCTTTCAGACACAAAAGCAAAAAAGGACACGGATACTTTCCAGAAGGCTGCAAAGCAGCCCCCCACCCCACCCCAAGTTGGTGCCCTTTAAATATTTGGCTGTCCATTTCCAGATATTCCATGTATTTTAGAAGTTGTAATCCAATAAATCTGAAGGTTGCAATGTAGAGGGGAAGACTGCTGTAAAGCTTGGTTTAAACCCAGGAGAATCCACAAGAAAGTTCTCCTAATCATACCTCATAGAAAACTGCCCAGCACAATTTAGGCCCCATGAAGGAAACTCTCAGTTCAGCAAAGTATACTCGAGAGATTCCCCATGATTCCACTTAGTTGCTTCCATCAGAGAGCTGGAGGGAACATTTGGAAGATGAAACACCAGTTATATATAACAGTAGCTGCTAAGATACCTGTAACTTTGAAGATAGATTATGCAATGAGTGGTTTTGTTCAATGTAGTTGAGACTTGGAAGAAGCAAGCACTAAGTTGCTATACTGGCAGATGAACACTTTTTTTAAGTAAGGGAAGAATATCCAGAACTTCAGATAAAACAGAGGATCTGACTCAGAGTCACTCTTCTAAAGTGCAAATGTGATGGTCCACAATTATGAATAGCTAAAACTCCTGTACACTGGAAGGGATTGATATCAAATGGGTTGAAATTGATTACAATCAGTGCTTGCCCAGTTTGAGGGGAAAGGGTAGGGGTAATAACAAACCAATACTAAGGCCAATTAAAGTTTACCAGAAATGTCATTATCATTTTAGCTCTCCTCTTCTATCTGCCACATTGTTCCAACATGTGCTTATGTACAGATGGGCAAGGTACATGGCTACATTTAACCAAGAAATGCCTACACATCAAGGTCAAAGGACTGGAATAGGAACAGTCAGATTTAGTACATACAAAGGCAAGAGAAAAGTGTGCTGATAAAGAGGAAAAGAACGCCTTATTGTCCAAGGAATTCAACCAGAGATAAAACCTATGTACAAGCATGTGGAGCTTAGAAAAAGTGCCTTCTCATTTCATGTCATGATTGTTTGTTGGCTTCTTCTTCATATGCATTTCCTGTTCCATTCTGTACATAAGATGAACCAGAACCAAGACCATACAAGTGACCACAGTATTTGGCATCATCAATGTGATCTTCAAAGAACATCTAAAGAAAATTTAAAGGACAAATTATTATTCACCTATTTTTGGAGGCTATTACTCAAAATACCTGTGTGAAAAAAATCTCATTTTTCAGATCAAATATAAAACTTCTTAAATAAAATATATCTCTCATAGTTTATATTTCTGTAAGAGTATCCAGAAAAAAATCCTGTAGGATTATCATCAAACTGTCGCATAAATCAATACAAATGTATTGTTAAAGGCCTGAACAACAGTAACAATGCAGGTGAAACAAAAACCAAAAGAAGTAAAACAGTCAAGCTTCAGATTTCAAGGACACATCCATATGGTTTTCTTGGCAACAATACAGAAATTGCTTGCCATTACTTCCTTTCAATTTTTTTTTAAACTTCCCAGTCTAGCCAACAGTGCTAAGATATTTTGGTTTCTCTCATTCAACTACTGATGAGGTTATCTCTTGCCTAGATTTTCAAGATCAAACTTGTACTGTCATCTAGCTGAACACAAAACCAAAAACAGCACAAAAAAAAAGTAAAAGATCTTACAAATTAGAGTTGTCAAAAGAAAAGTAGGCATTGCGTATGAAAAGCCTGTTAAAATAAAGTGTCACTGGTTTCTATGAAAGAACTTAGTTTCAACTGAGAGAGCACTGAAGAATCATGGCACTATCTCAGAATAGTCCCTACTTCTCATGCTCATTTGCCCAATTGCCCAGAGCTCTCCCTGTCATTAGTTTTAATTCTCAAATAGGGTGCTATGAAACAATGTGATTTCTAGTTTAGTACTAAGCCATTAAAGCTTTAAAGGTTAGAAGCAGCACTTTGAATTGACCTTGGAAGCAAATATGGGTCCAGTATGATCTAATTTAATTTACTTTAACCCTTCAGTACCAGACAGAATGGTGGCTATCACATTCTAGAGCAATTTTCAGGCTGTCTTCAAGGTCATCTCAACACTGAATGCATTATAATCCACCCTCCCCCAAAATCGCACTCACACAATATGTTTGGACTGCAGCTTTCAAGATTTCCCAGCCAGCATGATTGGGGAAATTTACAATAATCCAAACTGAAGTAAACAAAAAATGGATGACTGAAGCCAAGTCCTCTTATCTAGATAAACCAGGCACGTTACCTAGAATTGATCAAAGGCATTCCTAGCAAATGTCATCTCCTATTTATTCAAGAACAGCAATTAGTCAAGGAGTATCTCCCAAAATACATACCTATTACTTCAAGGTGCATTCATAACCTCCAGAATAGGTTAACACACCTCTCATCTAGATGCTAGCGCTTTTGACCAATAGCAACTCTGGATTCATTTTCATTTTTTTAAACCCTATTCATCCCATGATCTAATACCAGGTACCACTTTATCCCATCCACTGCCAAGCTGGGATCAAACAATGGTCAAGCTCCATGTCATCTGGGTACTACTGACATTTCCACCCAGACCTCCAGAAAACTTCAGCTGCAGCTTTTTGTAAATATTTAAAAAAGAAGGAACCATGAACCAAATGACATGAAGTAAACAGAAATACATCATGGTCATTAAAGTCCTTGGTACCACTACACTGTAGGCTGCAAACAATTCCCATCACAGCATCACCATGCTAGGAAAAGACACAGGTATTTTGCCTTTCACAGAATTACTAAAGTAATTGATAATATTGGAAGAATGAAGAGCTGGTAATCTAATTGCTGAGTTACAGCACCTAATTTTTAAAAAAGGAAACAAGAGTTGTAGATACATACTGTTCCTTCTTCTGAAGTAACAAAATTTAGCAAATCACTGCTAGCCAAATTTCTTAGACTTTCTTTAGGAAGAAAATTCCAAAAGAGCTCCTAAATTTCTCAAAATTAGTAATTTCACCCAATTATTTATGAAACGTTAGGTAGATTGAAAAGGAACTAAGGTCATGAGATCTCTTTACTAAAAAGATCCACTTCAGCTTGATTCTCTCCACCCCCACCCCCTCACAATTATCTGAGAAAACAATTAGAGCTTTAAAGCAAAAAAGGGACAAAAAGTGCTGGAAAGATGGTAAATAAATTTTCATAAAATGTATAAATGCTTCCTATACTTAAATTCTGCACCCTACAGAAACAAAAGGCAAAATCAAAACAGTAGTTTGCCACATAAAATGTTAATTATCTCACTGTCAATAACAGCTTCTTTGAGTTCTTATAATTCCTGTTGTGTTTGTGTCATCAGTGATAGTAATAAGCCATCTTGTCTTCTGATAGTCTCTTTTTCAATTGCCTTCGGTTTTCCCAAGCATCAGGATCTCCAATGATTCTTGTCTTCACATTATGTGTCCAAAATATTTAAGCTTTAGCTTTATTATTACTGCTTCCAATGAGCAATCTGGTTTACACCATCTAGTCCTGAATTAGTTGTCCATTTTGTGATCCAAGATATTCTCAACTATTTTCTCCAGCATCACAATTAAAAAAATCATAGAAGTGTGCAGAACTTTTTGCTCCAGAAAGGGAACATTCAGTTTTTGTTCTGGGACACACAATCTGGCTAACCCAGGACCAGTACAGTAGTTTTACAGAACCAAATCTTCCAGAAAAGGATATGGCCCATGCTGTTCTGAATATGGCCCAGGTCCAAAAGGGCACTAAATGTTAATCTCACATGCTTTTCATAAATTTCTCTGCGTGCAAACAACATTTAAGAAGGCATGTTGATATCCATCTATCTCATATTACATTTACTGGGATATGGGAAGGAAGGGAAGCTACAATCAGATTTCTGGGAGAAAAAAAACTTGACACTTTGTTCCTACCACCACTGAAGGAAATACTTTACAATTTAAGAAATCTATTGTCAAGTTACTTCTGCCAGTTGCAACAGTCAATGAAATTAAAATACAGGTAGTCCTTGCTTAACTGTAGTAACTGGGATCAGCAACACGATCACTAAGCAATGTGGTTGTAAAGTCACGGTCATGTGACTGTGCCAACTTATGACAGCAGGTGCGGCAGTCCTAATTGCCATCATAAGGCGAATCTCACACAGTTGCAGCATCCTGCAGTCACATGTTCACCATTTGCGACCCCCAACTAGCTTCCCCATTGACTTTACTTGTTGGAAGCTAGCAATGAAGGTCACAAATGGTGATCACGTGACTGGGATGCTGCGATGTCATAACTGCAAGTGGTTGCCAAGCATCCAAATTGTGATCACGTGACCACTGCAACAGCTGCAACTAGGAGAACCCATCGTAAGTCCCCTCCTTCAGCGCCGTTGTAACTTCAAATGGTCGCTGAATGAATGGTCGTTCAATGAGAACTACCTGTAACTAATCAGTTTCATTCAACATTATCATACAAAAAAAAAAATGCATACAGACCTACCTCTCTCATTTTGAAGAAGGCCATGCCTGTTAGTAGAGAATCAGATCCTGCCTGATGCTGTGGACCTATCCTCTCCAACTCTAATTGCTCAGCAACTTCTTGTAATCCACCCTGAAAATGAAGATTGCAGCACAGTTAGAAGAGTTGAAAATGTGACATCAGGTAATAACATTACTTTTCACCATTCAACCATATGAGCACACCATTTGAAGAGCTACACTAAATCATAGTCTTAGTTGAAGTCACACGTTCTTTAACAGTATAGCAAATTATGATAGCAAAGGCCTTCAGAACTCTTGTTTATTATCATTCAAGTCTTTCCAAAAGGAAAAGGGCAACAATTTGGTTTCTGTTAACTGTCTCCTCTCCCTTCAGTGTCATCAGGCTGTTTCAGTTTGTCTGCTCTGTCTAATATGCATTTCAGAACCATAAAGAAAGGGTAGAATATTTGTCCTCCAGAAACTGAATACAGTATCTTTAAGGTGTTATAAAGTCCATACCAGAATCAAAATTGTGTATAAAAACTTTTCTTAATTTTATTTTTTCCCATCATGTCTTGGCAATATCAGAAGGGGGCAGTGCTATAATAACCACCCCCCATACATCTACCACCAATTTACCATTTTTCACTATCAAAACTGTCTGAGATCACCATGTATCCTTAATAAAGGCACCAATGTATCATGCCTTTGTAAATTACTGACTAATCTGCTTTATCATTATACAATCAATATTTTCAAACCAAAATCCCACCCATCTTCCAACTTTGCCTAGAGCTGTTCATCAAGATAGGAGATGGAAAAAATCAAATGCAAAAAGTATGCACAATTGCTTTAGTACAAGGGTGAGCAACTTTGTAATGGCCAAGAGTTGCACTTAATATGTTAGGTATGGAGTGCTGCATGGTGAAACTGGTAGAAGTGTTTGATCTTCTGCTTATACCTTCTACACTTAGTGTGGCTATCTTCTCATAAGCTGAGAAGCTCCTACTCCCTTCTTTGCACAGCAGAAATTTCAAACTGTGAGACAAGCTATTAACAAAGAACTGTTTCATATTTCTGCTTAAAAACAGAAAAAAAACCACTATCACTTTCAAAATATATTTAGATCAATGCTAGAGGGTTCAAAAATAAGCATGATGTAGATGGGAAATGCCAAAACATTTAGAAGGATGGGTAAAATTGAGCAAGGCAAACAAACAAAGGTTTATTTTATTTTATTTTATTTTATTTTATTTTCAATGCTTAGATGTGTCCAAAAACTAAACAAGAAAGAGGCACATTTAGGTGCCTTTATCAATGTACAATCCCTCTTTGTATATAATTTTGCCTTCTTTTATTAAACATACCTTCACCACATACTTCTACCGTACTTTGCTTGAACAGCAGGGATGGGAATGAAGGAAGACAGTTATAAATTGAAACAGAAGAATACAGAATAGGGGATAAAGCAGGCCTGGTGGGGCAGAGGAGAATAATCTTCAAAGCCCTAATATATGTGTGTGAAGAGGAGACAGATTCTAGAGTCTGAAACCAATGTGGTGTAGTGATTAAGGCACTGAGAAGATCCAGGTACACATTAGAAGCTCACTGGATGACTTCAGGCTGGGAGAGAGTGACTTGCTCAAAGTTGTAGGGAAAAATAAATGGAGGAGGCTACAAATGCCATCCTGAGCTTCTAATAAAAGGCAGGACATAAAACTAACAAAATAAAATCTAAACAAAATTTAGCATTTGCTCCAGTTTTTTGCATCTTCTCCCCTGCAAATGAATTACCTCAAGTTAACTGTTCCACAATTTTCACAAGCAATTTAAAAGATGACAGGCCGTAATGAAGTTACTTGATAACCAAGTATTAATGTATTTATTAATAAATTAATTACCAAGTATTAATTTATTTTACTTGTTTTCACTTGTTAATACAGGAAGATACCCAGCTCCCATTATAAAACTATGTTTAAAACATTATCTTTCCACTTCTCTAATAAGAATAAATATGGAAATCAAAATGACAGGTAACATTCAAAGTCTGAAAAGCAGAAATGCTAATGCTCTGATTTGTCTACTCACCTTCTCACCTTCTTCCCCAGTGACAATTCCATGAAACAGACATGGCTGCTTTATGAACCTACCCCACATATTCTGCCTCATTGAAGTTTTTCAGTATCTACATTCTTCTTTAAAAAAAATAGTAATATCCACTATCTCCAAATAATATATAACTTTAACTTCAGGATCACTGAATAACCATTTTCACATCTGGCTCAGCAATATTATCACAGGTGAACAGTTATTCTTAAACCAGGATTTAACCACATCATAGTCAAAAGCCAATTTATCTCTGGTTTCTTTGCTTACAAAAACTGTGTTGATTCTGATACTAAACCAGCCTTTGCCTCAAGTCACTTCCATAGCAGTCTATTACCATCTTTTCTCTTTCTCACCAGTGCTACTCAGCTTCTTCTTGTTATAAAAAAATAACAAAGAGCTGCTACCAGAAGCTGCAACTTTTTATTCTTCTCCACTGCTATCTAGCAGAATGCAAGGGCAGAAGTGATACCTCCTTGCTGGTGGCTAAATCAAAAGCTTCACATTGATGTTTCCATATAGCTGTTGTGTAGACTGAATTCAAACTTAAGATACAGCCACCTGCCTACTTCAATCTTCAAAAACAAAGGAGACAACTACGTATGCAAAGCCACCATTTCTATCATCCAAAGACAGAGCAACATTAACTATTGATGAATCCTGATTTCAAGATGTAGCACCAGTTGCTGCAGTGGGTAAAAGAAAACACCAGCACAGAGTTTGTTTCCCATTTTTAACACAAGATGTTATTAGGATATTGTTATGATCATTACCAGATCAAGGGTGTCTCAACAGTCTGAATGCATGGTTCTATATGTTTATAACCAGAAACTAGTTCTATGATTTCTTTCTCAATGTACAAAACCTATGGCTTAGCTGTTGGAACCACATAACTATTACTTTTATCAAAAATTCCTAGGATAGATTAGTATCCTCCTCATGGGCATCTCTTTTTCAAGACATTCCCATTGCATAGGTTTCTCTATGGGAACAAGTTCTAACTTGTTACAGTTGTCCATAAGTAAAGCAGACAAAATTAACTCATGCATTCTTCCCTTATAAAAATCTAAATAAAACATTAGGAATTACCTTGAGATTTTTGCAACTCTTCATAAGGTACTTCACATCATAAATGACAGGGAAAAACAGTCTCAGTATTTCAAAGAAGTCTAGCTCTTCTTCTGGTAAATTGGAATTTGTCAAGATCTTGATCAAATATCCAAAGTCATAGCCACTGCAAAGTAATCATAAATAGAAATAAACATACTTAAGATTAGAAAGGCAAACATTCCAGAAGTTCTTCTACAGAAATTTAACAACCATTTTCTATATGCTTTCGCTTCACATGCATTCCTTGTAACATTAGAATCATGGCAACATACCATTTCATAAATAGAATTTTGTGTACATTATGGATTGCCTTGAATATAATTCTAAAGCTACAGAAAACTCTGGTGCTTAAAAGTTGCATGAGCCTGGAAGGAACTCCAAATTTATGCATTAACTCCTCCCCTAGTGCACAAAGTACTTGGGTTTACAGAAAATCTTGATTTATCATTATCTCCAAACTGGCAAACCATAACTCTACTTGCCCTCCAAATCAGGTTTACAAACTATAAAATTAAGTTTCTCAGTAAATACATCTCATGCATAATTTTTTCTACATAATGTGGAGTCATTCATGATAACTTAAAAGTCTATTTTAAGTCAATGTATATCAATTGTTTTAAGTAATATTTTATAGTAGAGTATTTGTAAATGTAATTCATAACAAAGTCACAAATGTAGAGAAAAACTTGACATACTAAAATATACCTCCACCAGGTGATTGTTTCCATTTAATCTGACAAAAACTGGATAACGTTTTATAGAAAAAACATGGGTTTTTTTTTAAAGCAGCTATATTTAGTGTGCAAAGATAATACAGCATATTTCTTGCTAGTGATGAAAAGTCAATAGTAGATTTCCATACACAGCCTAAAGGATTCAAATTGCTGTAGACAGCTGCCTAGACAAGATTTTAAAATGTAGACATCTGGAATTGATAGTAATGTATACAGGTTACAAAATGCATTTGCTCTGACATGTCTTACTTTATTATTGTTAAAATAAGTACAGGCAGTCCCCAGGTTATGAACAAGATCTGTTCCTAAATCTGTCTTTAAGTCAAATTTGTAGGTAAGTCGGAACAGGTACACTCAACACACTGTTAATGGCAACATGATCCAACTTAAAATGGCAGACGGCGTTCTCCTTCCACAAGCCAATGAACCACTGAAGCCATGCGATGTTTTCATGAGCATCACAAAGTTGTGCGTGAGTTCATTATTATGAACCATTGTATTTAACTCAATTTTTTAATATAATAGGCTTTATGATGGTCCATTTGTAAGCATGAGTTGTCCATAAGTCCAATGTTCTTAACCCAGGGACTGCCTGTACTGTATATTTAATAGTTCTTAATAATGCTTACATTAACTTCTATAGTTAATCTTAAAAAATGAGTAAGTAATCTGCACGTGAAAAATCACTAAGACAATGTTAAGAAACTTGATTGTACAATGTAAAAATAAACCTATTTCTCTTCATCTGCCTCCACCTCAAAGTAGCAGGATGCTTGAAATTAAGAGTGACTCAAAATTCCAGCAAACTGAGTAACTCTCAGGTCAGCAATCCCTGCTTTGATACAGAATGTGGAACTACTCATTCTAACATACAAAGATAGAAAGTACTCAGCATATCAGAGCTAATTAAAAAAACAAAACTAAAAAATCCTAATGAAGAAGAAATCATTATTCAGGTAGTCCCCAGCTTAAGAACACCAGGGTTACAAATGACCCATAGTTGAGAACAGAGCCTACTGTATCAAAATCTGAATGAAATACACAATTATTTGAGTTACATACACAATGGTTCAAGTTAATTGCACAATACTACTTATACAATATTATACAATAATACTGTTCCAGCTTACATATAAATTCGACTCAAGGACAGACCTTGGGAATGGAACTCGTTCTTAAACCGGCGACTACCTGTACCAGAGACTGCTCTGGCATAATTTACAGATTGCTCTGGCATAATTTACAAACTCTAAAGACACATTTACTTTCTGGAAATTAGTAAATAGGACCTTATATCCAGACAAATCCCACCCCCCCCCCACCCCAGATACAAGGTCTCCAAATCAAAGTGGGAGCAATATTTGCACTCCATGCTCCCTTACATGACCGTAATCCAGTCTTAGAGCTTGATTATATGGAACCATAACCACCAGTCATGTAGAAAAAAATCTAACCACTGATAAAGCCTTGCTGTCCAACAAAGCTCCAGGTGAAGATTACTTTCCTAGGCATTTACTTAAAGATAATCCAAAGTGATGAGATCCTATCTTGTTAAGATCCTCAAGCATATCAATTTCACAGACCATCTCCCCAAAGGCTAGAATTTAAGCATTGTTATTCCAATCTTTAAGAAAGGTAATTGAAACTCTCCAGCTAATTACAGGCCAATTAGTCTCACTGACCTCATAACCAAGTTCTATGACAAGCATCTCCTGCCCACACTGAAAGACTGAGTTGTTAACAACAATCTTCTTGTTGAGAAACAGCTCAGTTTTGACCCAGTTATTCTATCTTAGATCCCTGTTTCGTATTGTCCTATTTGATAAATAAGTACATCAACACTACAAAGAAGAAACTGTATGTGGCATTTATGGGCTTTCATTCAGCTTTTGATTCTATTGACTGAAATAAGTTATGGCTCAAATTGAAAGCTCTAAACAGTAGCAGACTGCTGGCTTTAATAATGTAGAGCCAGAGCGACGGCCTTGAAGCAAATATTCAAAAACCATTACATAAACAAATATAAGTATTCCTTAAGTCCTGAGAAGGGATACAGTATAAGAAGAGACTCAGTGTGGTATAAGAAGGAGGTGAGGAGAAGCACAATCACACTTGCAAAATTCTGTTACTACAGCCTATCTCAATAAAGTATAGTTTTTCTGTAGAGTGTCTTTCCTGATCTAGTTTACCTTGAAGGGATGACAAATAAGAAGAATTATACATTAATGCCCACATATGAGTTTTCCCTAATAGGCCATCTGACAGATACTATCACCACAAATATAAGGGGTATCCAATAGGGCTATGTCTTAGCTCAATTTTTATTCAATCCTTTTACAAACGATCTTGTGTTAATCTTGAAGGGTGGTAACTTTTTTCAGGTAAAATTGGTGACAGAAAGCCTACTATCCTTCCTACCCTATGTTGATTACCTGATCTTCATCTCCAGCCCACAAACTGGTTTACATAGGCTGTTGTCATCTTTAAACCAATATTCTCAAAAAAACTTAGACCATTAATTACTAATGGTAATTAATAACTGTAACTTTTGAAAAAATCAAAAGTTGTAGTCTTTGGGCATAACTTTCCTAGACATTAATGGAGGGTGTCTTTCCCACTGACCAAGTAACTTTTTATCACTTGCTAGGCCTCCTATTTACAACATCAGGCATCTGGTTTGCCTACTACTGTGCCCTCCAAATGAAAACAGAATGACAATTAAGTGGACCACAGAAATGGTGGCATATTACTAGTAGTCATCAAATTCCCCCAGCATTACATGTCTTCAGAATGAAGCTAGCCCCCCTTTTTTTTCCTTTAAGGGGCTGAGTTATGGGGTCTTTTTCCAGCACATAATTTATTTTTATTTTTCAAAATAAATTCTTACTAACCGTTTGGGGAGTACCAAAAGGTACCCCCATATCCTCCCTCCATCTAGAGACTAGTATCCAACCTATTAAAACAAGTATCATAGTTAAGAGTCTTTAAGTATTGGCACAAAGTAAAGTCCCTTTCCAGATGCCTGATTATGCAAACTTTGCCAATTAGAACAAATGAAATATATTTAAACGAAACATCCATTTATGCATGTGGGTATTCACCAGATTTTTTTGCTTCTGAGTAAGAACAGGTTATTTGATACCTCTGTTTGGCTTATGATCTCTGATGAAGTATATAGTGCTTTGCAGCATGACCTGTGCCACCTGTGATCTGGATCCATGCCTCTCATGCTCCTGGAAGCAGGGGGTAGGGGAGGTAGAAGGATGTAAAGATGGATCTAAGATGTTGTCCACTCTTCCTTAGGGGGGGAGTGTTGCCTGCTGCCTTGAAAAAGGCCTTCATGCATCATCTCCTTAAGAAGCTGTCCCTAAATCCCCAACTAGCCCTTTTGGGAGAGTTTTGCTGAGACAGTGGTATGGAATTAGCTACAAAGTACCCCAGAAAAAGTGGAACATCTGGTTCCTTTGCCATCAGGATTCAGGCTTGGGTATTGAGGCTGATGACTCTGGGAAAAATGTACCTCTTCTGGTCTTCTTAGGCCTCTCAGCAGCCTTTGTTACCACAAAACATGGTATCCTTCTGGACTATCTGAAAGGGTCAAAGATTGGAGGCATTGATTTACAGTGGATTTGTTCCTTCCAGAATGGGTGGTTCCAGTCAGTGGTTATAGGGAAGAAAGCTCAGTTACCATTCACTTGTGGAGTGTTGCAGAATTCAGTCTTCTCTCTCCTATTGTTTAACATTCACATGAAGCCTTTGGGAGAGGTCATTAAGCCATCTGGGGTACAATATCATCAGTATGTTGATGATATCAAACTATGCACCTCCAGCCTGGATTGTGTCTAAAATGCAGTGGAGATCTTGACCTGATGTCTGGAGGCTATGAGGGCCTGGGGGGACTCTGAGGATGAAACAAGCTGAAACCAACTGAGACATAGTTATTCATTCACTAAGATTCTCTAAGACTGTCTCTCAAGGGGGAGGCATTATCCATCAGGGAGCAGGTCTGTGAGCTGGGGACCTTCCAGTTATTTCTGAATGGAGGCAACAGACAGAAGGTCTTTGCCTAATTTTGGCAGATGCCCAAGCAGTAGTCCTACCAAAACACAAGGACGCAACAACATGTGCCCTCATCACTACTTATTTGAACTACTGCAATGAGCTCTACCTTTGAGACCCCTTGACAACTGAAGAATGTAGCACACCACTTACTAACTGGTGTGGTTCACCAAGAGCACATAAATTTGATGCATGGTGCTGCACTAGTATCTAATAGGTTTCTGAGTGCAATTCAAAAACATTGGTTTTTGAACTATAAAGTCCTATGACTTGGAACCAGGGTACATGCAGTATTACCTTATCTAACTAGTATCAGTCTGTCTACTACTTTCATCCTGGGAGAACCTGTTGGTTATCCCCCATTTTCGTGAAGTGAGGGGGAATATGACCAGGAGGTGCTGTTTTTCCATCACTGCCCCAGTCTTCTGAAACATTTGGTTTAGTAACTGCTGAAGTTACTAAATCTAAAGCTTTACATATTTTTTCCAACAAAGGGAGCAAGTATTGTTGTGTTCAATAAAGAGATGACAAAATACACTTTTTTATTCAGCCAGAAACTCTCTAGAACTTAGATGAAGTTAAGATCACATTATAGCTCACAATACTGCAGGATTACAGAGAGTTCTAAAGGGTTCATAAATTTTTCCTCACCACTGTATTTGTTGTGTGGACACCTAGCTTGTTACATCTAGCTCCCAAAGAGTAAAACATGTTTTATTTTTGGCTTGTTAGCTTCACCTAACAATGTTGCCTTTCATCATAATCACCATAAATGAACCTCATTCACAACAAATCATCTCCATCTAGAAACACAATTTTTCACACAGTACTAATGGTGGTGATAATAGCTATATTAGCTGCTACTTCCTGCCATCAAGGTTTTATGAGAGCAATAAAACACATCCATTTTTCAATAAGACAGAAATTGGAATAAGCTAGGAAACAAGTACTGTAATTTTAAGTGCTTTAAAATTGTCATACATTTTCTACCATTTCTGTAGCAGTATTTGAACCCCACACATTGCTAACATTTCTCCAACAACAGCTAAATGATCAACATTTTAAAATGTAGTCTAATTCCTTCTAATTATCCAAAGCAGAATTTAAACTCAACTAATGGTGTTGAAGCACTCTTCCCTCACTGGAGTACTATATTAAACACAAGTTGATACACACTTTGGACACTACCAGATAAGAACATTTGCTACAAACCATTTTCATTTCAAAACACCTGGATTCCTGAAATGTTCACACCTGTGTATCTGAATGGCTTGAAGGGTTATGCCCATCTATGCTATCTTGAACAAGATGATTCATTTCAAGATATCTGCACTATTTTGAACAAGATGATTGCCTTTGCTAGTAATCTTTTCCAGAAAACTTTCTAAAATTTATGCCTGCCAAAACCAACCTTCAGTAAGCAGCTTTCCATTCAACAACCCAACTAACATAATAATTAACACGCTTATAAATTATTCAACCAAATATTCCTTTTTTCTTAGTTAAGAATTGTGAAGTGGGTCTCACAATATTCAGCACAAGATTCTTCTCAGTGATCCAGATCTTGAGTGTATGCTTACACTGTCATCTAAGCTTCAAATCAGGTGATTTAAACCATTTCAACCATTGTCTTTAATGGACCATGCCTCTATTTGGGGTGCTAGGGGGTTGAAAAAAGCAAAGGAACTAGTATATTGGAACCAGGCAAGAAAATAGTTCATGCAGCAAAGTTTAATTTTCCAATATTTGGCATTACAATTAAGATAAAAGGTTCATATTTTCCCTACCAGCATTATCAAAGAGTCTTCAGAGCTGTACTGAATTTGGACTTTCCAACGATGTTAATCAACTAATTCCAGTTTCCATTTACCTGCTAACCGTACACAAAGGGCAGATATATGTGGCTGTTCCTTCCTCTGACCTGGGAAACTGTCAAAGCAAAATAGAAAAATACAGTGCTCCCTCTCTACATGACTGACACTTTAGTACCTCAAGTTAAGATACAGATTATTTGTTTCCACTGGAGCCAAAGCGTAAACTGGAGAGATAAGTTTAAAGCATCAAAGTCTTTACAAAATTATCTACAACTCATCCAGCCTAATACTTCAGCTTAATAAGCAGAGATAATTATTTTGTCTTAAAGTTTCATAAAAAGTTAAGGAAATCAAGTAGGCAAGCGATAACTCTATATGCTGCGGTTACCTATGAAATGAAAGCCACTTGACTCCTTCACAGAGCACAACACCCGAAGTCATAAGAAGTTCAGCGAAGTATTGAGTCTCAATTCCTTCCTCCTCATGTTTTTTGAACTGGATTCCAGATGTTGTTAATAGCTCTATAGAATCCTGGGCATACATGTCCTCTCTAGAAGAAGCATTATCAGAAAAAGTCACTATTGTTAACCGAGTTGTCAAAAAATATTTTAAATCAAATACCAGCACAAAGTCCATATCATTGCTAATAAATCATCCACGTAGAAGAGTTTTGCTAATTAGTATCTACTGCTTAATCTAATGAATATATACTGAGAAGTAGAGTTCACTGAGTTCTATTCCCAGGTAAAAGAACTGTTAAACAGGACGTATTGTGATACTTACTAAAAACATACTATTAATTACAGAAAATTCCTTCCTACGCAACTGTGATGGAATGGACTTATGAAGGCCAGCTCAGGGAGATAAGCGTGTTCTTAGTCCCCAGCAGGAGCACGGGAAGTTCAAGAAGATGAGGCTGATACCTCCCTAAGGAATTCACAGTGTTGTGGCTGGCTGGCTTGGGAACTAGGGTTGAGTCTAGGGAGATTTTCTGTCTGGAGGTTGTAGCTAATAAAAGCAACAGAACTGTATTTGCATTGTCTCTTGGAGTTCTTTGGGCTAAACCTGACAACGCTGTTAATATGATTGCAAATCTCTATTGACTTCCTACCAACTATTTACCACAAAAGTCAGCAGGAAACAGATTTGGACTATGAGTATAACACTGCTCTGGCTAGAACTTGCATTATCTCATCATGAAAGCTGGTTCTTTAATCAGTAATAGAGATCTCTGTTCATTAGTATTTCATGGCCTCCATGGAGACTGCAGGCTTGTTGCAAGTAATCATGTCCCTAACAAATATAGGTGAGCACACCTTTACTTTGAAGCAGATGATATATGAATATGGAGGACATTGACATCTGTCCTTATTCTGGTCAGACCACTACCTCATCAAACTGTGCATCATAGATGCCCCAGACTTCTGTAAGGGCAGCAGGACCCTTAGGATAAGTTTTCTGGAGAATTTGGCAGGCAGTTTCATTGCACCCTGATTGATCACAAGAACATAGAGACAGCTGCACTGCTGCATGAGTTTGTTCCTGTGAGGCCTTTGCCTAACTGCAAATCACAAGCAGCTCCCTGACTGACTAAAGAGCTGAAGGAAATGAAGCTATTGAAAAGAAATTTAGAGTGACAGTGGTGGAAAACCAGAAAAGGATGTGATTGAGCAATGATAAGAGTTCACATTCAAACCAACACAAAATCAATAAGAATCCATTTTTCCTCACACATTGCATTCCTAGACTCCTGACCAGTAGCCCTCTTAAGAGTTACTCCGAACCTTCTGCAAAAGGATGGGTGGGACAAAGTGCCTGTAGGCACATTGGTTGAAGATGTGGCTTTCTTGGCAGATAAAGTCACTCATATCCACCTAGGTTGGATGCCAGATAGGTAAAGTCCAGAGTGATGGATGAGGCAAGGTCTTGTGGTATTATCTGTAATTAGTTTGAGCTTCTAGAGTCCAAGGAAATGGTCAGAATTCTCTGTGGTATGAATCCTGCCACCTGTGCATTAGAACCACATACTTCTTGGCTCCTTTGGATGACCAGGTGGGGTATGAACTGCTAGATCTGTGAGATGTCAATGCTTCGTTGGGGAGGAGGTAATGCCACCTGCCTTGAAGGAGACAGTAGTATACCATCTCCTAAAGACATCCTCACTGGATCCAGCTATTTTTAACAACTTTCCACCAGCCTCCAACCTGTTTTAGGGAGTTTTTCAGAAGATGGCAAGGAACTACTTACAGGGATCCTATATGTAATGGATTATTTGGATTCCTGTGATTCAGGACTGGTCAGGATTTAGATGAGAGGACTGCACCCCTCTCAGTGGCATTTAATACCCATGGTATCTTTCTGGACAGCCTACAAGGGCTGGGAGTTAGGTGCACCATTTTACAGGAGATTCACTCCTACAAGTGAACACTTTTACTTTATAATCATGGGCAGTAGTATTCATATCCGTAGTTGCTCCAGTGTGAGGTGCTATAGAGCTCAGTGCTCTTACTTATGTTACTTAACATCTATATGAAGTGCTAGGGGAGGTTATCTGTCAGTTCAGGGTGAGGTGTTATCAGCATGCCACCCAGGCTAAGCCAAGGTGATATACAGTCAGGTCCAGAAATATTGGGACATCGACACAATTCTAACATCTTTGGCTCTATACACCACCACAAT